TCCTCTTTGTGCGATATCCGTTGTTGGGTCGGCACAGTGGGGTAAAACAGTAAAAAATTCTGAATTTTCGTAATTTATTGTAGAAATTATTTTTAGATAATTTTAAGAAATATTTTTGATTGGTAGTAGGGTTTTTGGAATTTTTGCACAAATTCACCCTACATTCGGCATTCTTTGCAGAAACATTTAGCAACAAATATTTGTGAAAATTTATCGTTTTTTGGCTAGTTTTGCAAAATTTGTAAATATTATTTAACGTTTGCAACTCTACGTAGGGCTTTTGGAATTTTGGACAAATTCACCCTACATTCGGCATTCATTGCACATATTCCAGCAAAATATATTCGTTGAAAGTATTCGTTTGTGGATATTTTCTTCAATTCTTTGGGCAATTCATTTGTAGTTGTTAGTACTATTTGCGATTTTCCGTAGGGTTTGGGTATTTTTTTTGAAGAATACACCCTACTTTCGGCATAATCTTGTAAAAATTGCCAAATTTTGCATTAAATATTTTGTACAGCTACTCAATTTGCAGCACATTTACACTATCTTTGGATAAATATCGTACTGGTGGTAAATTTTTGGAAATTTGTCATATATTTTGAAAAAAAACACCTATCATTGGCATAACCAAATCATTAATTTTCTTAATTTATTGATGTTGGAGCAATTTTAGTAACATTTGTCACATAGGAAAAAATTCTCTTAATTTCTCTCCTATTGAACAATATTTATAACTTTTTGAAGTATTTGGAAGTTTTAGTTTTGGAAATTTCTCATTTCCCTTCCTTTTGCATACCGTTTGTATTTTTTTGTCATACATTTAGAAACAAAATGTCGATCACTCCGCTCACACGTTTCACTAGAGCCGCTGACATTGTTCTGAAGAGTGTAGACTATTTTGAACAAATTGATGTCACACAGTTCACTATTTACAGCCTCGAAATTCGACTTTCTGAAATTCGAGAATTATGGGAAAAAGTTCAGAACACTTTTACTGAGTGTAAAAACTACCTCACGGCATCCGAGACTGCACAGGCTGACCTTTTTGATGTTGTTGAGGATAAATACAATAATGCATTTATTGCATACCATTGGTGTTTGACCACCATAAAAAAGCATTTCGACCGCCTTAAATCTCCAATAAGTGATAATTGTTCCCCTGCTGCGGCTCCTCAGACCTTACATCCTGAAAACTCCACTATTGCAGTTAATAATGATAATGTGACACCAACTTCAGGCTTGCTTTCGAGCGAACCTATCTTATCGGCTCCTGTGCAGTCTGCTTCTCCACCCGTTAATACTTGTTCCAAATCTCCCACTAATAACAAATCCAATCCATCCTTCCATAATCAATGTTACATGTTGCACCTCTAGATATCGAAGTCTTTGGTGGTGATTTTAGTTCGTCTTTCAGACATTGAACGTCTCTGTCATCTTAGGCAGAAGACCACCGGTGAGGCTCGAGAAAACGTTTCAACATTTCCACTCACGAATAGTAGTTTGCATTTAGCGTGGAAAGCTTTGTCAGATGCGCAAGATAATAAGCGCATAGTGGTGAACAGTCATATCAAAAACTTGTTCGATATTCCTCCACTAAAAATTGAAACTTGTTCGGGTTTGAAAAGTGTCCAAAATGGAATTAATAGTTGCCTCGCTGTAATGGCCGTCTATGACGTCGCCACGGATCAGTGGGATCCGATTATTGTGTATATGTGTTTGCAGCGCTTGCCCAAATTAATTTATCTCTGTGGGAGCAAAGCATCAAAACTAAGTCGTTGTTGCCTTCTTGGCCAGACTTAGATGCTTTCCTTATAGAGAGAATACAAACTTAGCAGTGTATTCTGAGCATACACAAAAATCCGCCCACAGAAAAGTCAAAAATAGTCCCTTCTCCTATTGCCTCAAATAAATCATTGTTATCAAAGAATGTTACTCTTCCCAGACCTGCAAAGAAATCCTTATCATCAAAGAGTGTTTCACCTCATCGCTCCTCCACTAGATCGTTGACATCCAAGCATGTTCGTACATCCAGTTCAGTCATTAAAAAGTCATTGGTACATGAGCTAAGATGTGTTGCTCCATCTACTCGGCTAAACACTTCCTGCTCCATTTGTCCTAACCAGAGGCATGGTCTTCGACTCTGCCCAAGTTTATAAAACTTTCGTTTGAGGACAAATTCTTGATTGTTAAAAAGAATGTCTCTCACTTGGCCACATAGTTAAAAATTGTCACAGTACAAATAGTTGGAAATCTTGTAAGCAAAGGCATCACAGCCTTCTCCACCGGCCACAGATTAGTAGTTTTGTTGGATCACCTTGTTCAAAACAATCACAAGTATCTACCAATCCTAAGAATCTTGAATTTTACCTGCGAGATTCGATATACAAACAAACTTTACCTCCGGCTTTTACCAAAGTCAAAAGTCGAGGTTTAAAGACCCCTCCAGCTTTTACAAAGGTCAAAAGTCGAGGTTTAAAGAACCCTCCGGCTTTTACGAAGGTCAAAATTCGAGATCTTAAGCCCTCGGAAACGCACCCACTCTCTGCAAAAAATAATTCGAATGACCAGTCTCCCAACACCATTGAAGATCACGTGCTCTTGGGAACTGCAGTAGTAAATATTGTTCACAATGGGAAAAGTTATACTGCTCGTGCTATAATAGACCCGTCTTCAAAGGCATCTATTATAAGTAAGAAACTTAAAAATGCACTTGGTATTTCAACTTGTTCTTTGACAAGTTCTACATCGCCGAGAGAAGTCTGTTCTCTTAAGTTGTCTTCTCCTAGAAACGCATCTAGAATTGTGGAGACAAAAGCGTTTGTGTTGCCTAAAATCAAGGGGAAGTTGTTCTCGTCACAATCTTTTTGTAATTTAAAGACTCGAATTCCTAATCTTGATTTAGCGGATTCTTTCGATAATAGCCCAATAGATTTGCTGCTTGGCGCTGACCTATATCCTAAGATACTCGAAGCTGAACCACCCCAAATTTTTTTGGATTCGTTGCTGGCCCAAAAGTCTATTTTCGGGTACATTTTCACCGGTTCAGTACCTCCCGCGACCGTTACATAATCTCGCACCAAAAATTGAAGTCGACCATTTATTGAAATAATGTATATCGCTTAAAATTTAAAAATATCGCATGCACTAAAGATTGAAATTGTAGACCGAATCTACCGGTAATTCGTCAAGTCGCTATGATAAAATTCGAAAATCTGCAACTATAGCTCACTTAGGAATCTGAATTTACGTTCCTTCCTAACTTATTATAAATTGATATTAAGTGCTAGGCTCGTAGTTCTAGCAAGGGGGCCGAAATGTATAAGTTCGATACGTTCCACCACAACTTTCCAATACTCGTCAATCACGGATGCTGATTGGCACACTGGCACCTCCTCTACAATTCCCTTGGCGGATACCGTAGTGAGCGGATCGCCGCTGGGTATTGGTTGTTGGCGGTAGGCTCACCTTGCTCTCATTGGAAGTAGTTGTAGTTGTAATAATATACAGACATGGGACCCTCAGCGGTCACTCAGAACCTCTGCGTTCACTTGTCTGTGTTTGCATATGTATTAGAAATAGACAAGGGATCCTCAGCGATCACTTAGAACCTCTGCGTTCACTTGTCTTTTAGAAACGAAAGCGAAAGCACACGGCCTCTGTCGCCACCCCAATTATTGAAAGTAATTTTGTTGTTTGAAAAGAAAGAGTCACAATAAAGCATAAATTATATTTAGAAAAATACTAATTTATCTTTGTTTCAAAAATGATAGTTTATTTTCCAATACCAGGCCAGGACAAACAAAAGGCAGTAGGTCGACACCACAAAAACAATCGACGACAAAAAAGTGGATACCTAACCTCAAAATGAGCTCAACTCAACGAGGGATCCTGCACTGCAACACCAGGCGAGTAAATCTTAAATCAAACTTCTTTTGTTTACCCCTTCTTCTCTAAAATTTTACTTTTCTTTTCAGGAAAACCGCGGAATTTAATTATGTTGTTCGTCGTCCGTCTGTCTGTCCGGAGTTAATAGTAACGTCTATAGGGAAGATACCAAGTCACGCTGGTGTAGCAGTGACGGCAAATCTGCGCCTCCCTCAATGGATTGGATGGGCGATGGTGTGGCTCTTTACTCCAAAAATTCTGCCAGGCTTTAATTTTTTAAGATTTTTCTTATTTTTTTTTGTATTTATTAAGTTTTGTTTTAAACTTAATTCAGTTTCGTTTTGTTTTAAACTTAATTCAGTCTTAAATCTTTTTTTTTTTTTTTTTTTTTTTGTTTAAAATTTTGTCGAACTTTAAGATGTTTATTTAGTTTTCGATTAATTCTTAAGTATACTTTAAAGTTTAGTTCTTAAATGTTCACATTTTAGCTTTTTTAATTTTATATTATGTGTTAGGATTGTTTAAAGCCTTTTAGCTTAAAAAATGTTGGTATTTGAATTATTTTTATTTATTTTGTTGAACAAATCAAATAAATAAATGCTATTCCTTTTAACTTAAGGAATTTATCGCCAAAAATGCCGGGTGTTTTTCTTCGCTAGGAGCATTCAATCTTCTTCGCTGATGAGATAAAAAAGGCCGATTTTCTTCCTAATTTTCCGCAGGAACTTTCTTTTTGTCATCTTATTTTTTCAAATTCTATGTTCTTTCCCTGCTACATGACTTTTCGTCAACTGTTATACGAGAAAAATCAGCTGTTTAAGTGTCCCATTGAATGCCAACATTCTTCTTCTTATCACAATGGTTAACCCATTTTGAGGCGCACTCACAAAACCAACTATCCTGCCGATGTTCTTATTAAAGGATAGGGGGAAAAAGTGCGACATTCGTAACAGGAATTCAAAAAAAATTAAAGTTTCTAGTTGGGCATTTAAGAAAAATATCTAAACTTGGCATCCCTAATAATCGTGATTTGGCATCCCTAACACTCATTTTCCAATTTTCCACATTAGAATTGCAATTCTGAAATGTTTTATTTACTACAGTGTAAAAACCCAAATACGACACGCTCGAACGTCGTCTTAACCTGGTATAAGAAATACGCCATGCACCAGACGCAATCATTTGGTGTAATTCCAGCTGCCAATGAATGGAATTGATGTTTATCAATGAAAACAAATGGAGTACGAGTCTATTGCAATATTTTTGGCGGCATGGAGCACGGACGGACATGAATTCGGATTTACAGAAAAGTGGAAAAAACTAAAGAAAATAATAAAATAATTAAAAATCAATAAGTGAAAGTCACGTTTGCGAATTTAGTGTGTTTAATTAAAGTGAAAATTGTTTAAAGTGCCAAAAAAAAAAAAGAATGAACTGGTTGCATACAGTGCGGGTGTATGTGCCAAAATTACAATGCAAATATTTGCAATAAAATTAATCCCAACGAATCGAAGAAAACAATGAAGATATCAAAAAAATAGTACGGAAACTATTAAATATCGTAACAAAGTGGCATTTACAAACTAAATTTTATGAATTTAATGGAATTAATTGTCTAATAAAAAAAAATAGAATGACTTCTATCAAGTGTGTGTGTGAGTGATATGTGGTGATTGAGAAAAATTGCATTCAAACTGCAACCATTCAGTGAAACGTGATTTTGGCGGAAATATTGAACTTCGAAAAACTACTATTATGATTTTCGAAGAAAAAGAATAAAAGAGAGTGAAATGAAGAAATGAAAGTAATGAAGTGAAAACATAAAAGAATGGATAATTTTGGAGAAATACAGTGAAAGTGAAAATAAACAAAATTGGAATCAAAATAAAAGAATTAAAGCGATTTTGTATCTAATGCAAATTGTAAACGAGTCGATAAATAAAAAAGCTAAGTGAAAATATGGTGAAATTTACAAAATATTTTATGATAAATTATTATAGTTGAAACTGTTATCAACTTGAATTGATCGGACGGACATAACAAAGTAACCAATGTAAAGAGAAATGTTCGAAATAAAAGTAATTTTTGCAAGATAAAGGATTTTTGCAAATTAAATTAAGAACTTAATGTGAAAAAAATAACACAAATGCGAGATAAACTGTGAAGTACTGTGAATTAACGATCCTTTTATGGAAAATAAATATCTGCGAATTTAAAATGTAAAATATAAGATTTAAACTGAAGATTAAAATAAAAATAAAGATATCATAAAATCGGATGGACATATTCGGCGCAATTAAGAACACATTTAATTATACTTTTTCCTAATTCCAGGTTACATTTCTGAATTTAAATAAATGCTTAATATTTGAACAACGAACTAATATTATTTTGTTTTTATCTTTACAGATTTGTGATTGCGGAAGCACAAATGGCCAAGGACAGTCACAATGTGACTCGTTCAGAAGTCGTAGACATAGAGTTAAAGTCAGTAAACCCGGGGAGCTTAAATTCATGTTCTGGCTTGGGACTTCTGACATCAGCTGCTATAGTCTAGAAGACTGGACGCCAATCCGAATAGTAGGAAAATAAACGGGATGCCGAACTGGTCATCATTCTACATTCTAGCCGAAACTATAGAGGAACTGCCGTTGGATCTTCAGAAATAAACGTAAGATATGTTTTTTTATTACTTTTAATTTCCCCTAGTTTTTGGTAATTTGCTCTAAAAGAAATCAGGAATTTATCAAATTCTTTACCATAAAAATTACTATTACTCACATATTTCTATAATAAATTTTAAGCAACCTAACACATTTGTATGTATGGCTTAATACTGCATTGCAGTCTATGCCTTTTACATCTATATTATTGTTATTATATTCTTTTATATATTATTTTTGCTAATTCATATTTTCTCTTCCTTTCACTTTATGGACCAAAACTCGGAGATATTTGGTTCACCCTATACCCACAACACTCATGGACCCAACTTATGCTTAAAACGCTGTCCTACAGCTTGTATAGAAATGTAACTCATCGAGGACATTGCGTAAGTATTAATTCAGGTTAGTCCTTTTATTATTACCTCTTGCATAATGCTAATAATTTTTTTTTTAATTCAGGTACTACTATCAACTATACTCAAATTGATCTTCCGTAATTCTTGGGAAATTCAGGTGAGTCTTGGAAAATTAAATTTAAGTTAAGTTAGAATTAAGCACTTCATTTTGATTATCGCTATCTACATGTTGCAAATGCTATTTACTGCCTTTTCGCTTATTGAGGTTGATCGTTGATAACCGCCAACTTATTGTTAAAACTTTATAATATCTAAACTGATCTCAGTTTGATAAAAAAAAACTAAAGACAAATCTGCTATATACGCTTGGAGTTCAGTGGCTATAAATATGCAGACGCTGAAATATGATAATTCATACCTTATGAATTACGGCCTAAAAATAACAAAAAATTAAATGTACCACAATTTAAGTATTTATTGCTTTAAATCCTTTTCGTGAAAAATGCCAATGGGGTGCCCTTTAAGATCTTCTACTTCATAAAGGCATCTCCCTACGGGCTTACTAATGCGACAATTGAAAAAATTCTTGTCAAGTTTAGCATTATAATACTTTTTAAAATCACTTTGCCTGAAACTCCTACGAAACACTTCTTGCCCTGGTACGAACTTGACTTGGCGACTTCTAAGATTTTTAATTTTTCAAGAATGCCTGGTGCAGACTATTTCTAATCTTTTCCCCAATTAGATTTAGTTTTACCGAGTTCGGAATAAGAATCGTTTCGGGGTCATTAAGGAGTTTGAGTTTCCTGGCTAATTTATAAAGGCTGGCATGGTTAATCATATTGACTCCAAAGAGCGCAAAATAAGGAGTAGTTCCGATGGAACTATGGACCGAAGATCGCAGAGAACATTCTATCTCTGAGAGATTCTGGTCCCATTCTCGGCGATCTTTAGAAATATGCCCGAATTGCTGAAAAAATTGATTGATTTACTCTCTCCGAGGCATTCGCTTGAGGAGAGTGAAAAGCGGCCTTGGTATGATTTATTCTAAAAAGCTTAACCATGTCTAAAAATTCTTTACTGACAAATTGTTTTCCATTATCGGAGACAATTACTTCAGTGGTTCCAAACTTCAACTTATCAAATGCTACCCTGGCCTCTTCCGTGAAACTGAATCTTTTTCCTTTTTTTAATGTGTCTCGAAGATGGGAGCCGCAATGGTGGCAAAGTCGGCTATAAACCTTCTATACCACCCTGCGGTACCCATAAAACTTCTCACCTGTTTTATGGTTTTCGGATATGCGAATTTTACTATAGTTTCCACCTTCGCCTGATGAGTCTTCAGTTTGCCACCACCAACAATGTATCCCAAATATCTAAGCTCTTTAAAGCAGAAGTTCGACTTGGATACATTGATGGTGAGCCCTGCTCTCGCCAAACAATCGGCTACTTGCTCTAACAACCGTAGGTGTGTATCAAAATCAGGCGAAACTACCAAAAGATCATCTAGGTAGACAAAAACTCTATCTCGTATTGCACTAGGGATCACTTTATCCATTAAACGGCATAACCTTTGGGCCGCATTAAACAGACCAAAAGGCATGACCATAAAAAGTGGTCTTCCGGGCACTGTGAATGCAGTTTTCTCTCTACTAGGCGGGTCCAAGGGTATTTGCCAAAACGCGTCCTTGAGGTCGACACCGGATATAAAATATGTGTCTCCCAACCGACTGAGCAAACCCTCTATATGCGGCAATGGATAGGCATCTTTGACCGTAAGTGTATTAAGTTTGCGAGCATCCAAACATAACCGATTTTTCTCACCCCTTCTGACTAACGTAACGGGGTGACTCCATGAACTTTCGCTCTTCTCAATTACCCCCAGGCCAAGCATCCTATCCAATTCCGCATACATGAGCTTTTGCACAGGCGGGGACACCGGATAATGTCGATCCTTCACCGGAGTTGCAGAGGCTCACCTGATGGAGGAAAACCCGTCAATCTGAGCAAAGAGGTGAAAACTACGCATAAAATCGACTCCTAGAAAAAGTTCACGATTCAGAGAAGGCACTAGATAGAAATTGATAGGTTTGTGCTGCTTATTGAAATTGACCATTGCAGCCACTTTTGCAAAGATTCGATGTGGACTACCTCTCCAAAAATCCGTTCTTTAGCCTCAGTATATTTCTTAATTCTAATGTGGAGTGGTTTAATCTCCCTCAAATTCTTTACTGCTTCTGACTTCAGTTTCTCTAAATTCATGTTCTTCAATACCACTATCTTATAACTAAGGCTATAATTATTTGATTTATCTGGGGCTAAACCGGGGTTCACCTCACCTGCCCCGTTGGAGGAGGGCCCCTATACTTGTTTCCCTGACATTTCGGACAATCTAAAACTGTTACATTCTCCTGTCCACACTTGTAGCAAAACAACTTGCGTTTCTCCCTACAATCTATCCAACTGTGTCCCACACTCCGCAATTCCAACACTTATATTTCGCCGGTGTACTAATCGCATCTACTTCCATCTCTTGTGGTATGACTTCTTCTTGCTGCCAATCAAGCTCATGTACCCTCTGAGGAACGTTATATCGCTGCTGATGTTGCCTCTGGCTCCATATCAAGTTTTCTGCCCTCTTAACTTGGCGATAAAATTCTCCTAGACTCCTTATCTGGGCTGAGAAAATCATTTGGGCTAAAGATGACTTTAAGTTACCCCACATTATCTCTACCATGTCGTGCTCTTGATAAGGCGTTTTCTGCTGGGTCCGAAGGTTCAGCACGGAATTATAAAAATCGTCGAACGTCTCATGAGGTAGTTGCCGTCTGTTCAAAATTTGCATTTGTATTTGGAACTCATTCTCATACTGCTGGTACTGGTTCAAAAGCGCCGTCTCAAGCTCGCTCCAAGAACGAAAATTGACAAATTTTCTTTGGTTCCAATACCAATCCACGGCTGGCTTGTCTAGAAGCTGGTGGAACTTCGTCAAGAAATCGTCTTCCGGGCAATTGAAATCCCTCTTCAACTGTCCAACACGAAATATGAATTCTTGGACATTCATTGTCTTCTCGGTGCCATCGAAACGGATACCCCACTTGTCCAAATTTAACCGTCCGCTGGACTCAGAGTAAAAACTGGGTGGTGGACGAAAACCATATGGATTGCCTCCTTCGGGCGGAAACTCCATGTTGTTAAAAAGTGGTGGCTATATGCAGCAAATTCGTGGGGTCCACACTGTGGTCTTTGTACTGGTGTTGGTTCCGATAAATTAGGTTGTGGTGATGGTTGTGTTACTTGACCAGCTGCTAAGGCACTGGGAATGGATGCTTGGCTGGGTATCTGCCCTTGGGCATAATTTGGTGCTGTATAACCTGCTAGATGTGGCCGATATGATGGTATGACATTAGGAACTCCTGGTAGACCCCGTACTCCCTCGCGCAATTCGACTAAGCCGACTGCAGTGTTAATAATTTCTAGTACTCCGGTACTGACTGCTGGCTGACCCGTGGGCACACCGGGTGCTAAAGCTGGCTGTTGCAATCCAGTCAACACGCTGTAATTCGCGGAATGGACACTTCCATGTGACCAGAACGACGTGTTGAAAGAATTTGCGGCGTCTTGCAAAACTGACGGTATTGGAGGTGCTGTAGAAGAACTAGTAGGCATTGGTCCAGGCGTTGTAGTTGACACCGTATGCGTCGTTATCGGGACACTTCGAGTATAAGTAGTAGCTGAAACAGTAGGAGCGGCCGTGACAACCGTACTGGCGACTACACTATTCTGGCCTAAAATTGGCCTGTCAGTTGAGTCCCTATTTGTAGACCTAGTGCTGGGCATATTCCACTCTGTTGTTTCCCAGCCACTTCTAAAACCAAATTCTTCAAAACTAAAAAAAAATAAACTTGTGCCAAAAACTTCACTCAAATGAAAACAAAACTTCAAGGTATTTCTATGGAATTCAGGCAATACCTTGAGTTTGAAAAATACTTATAGAACTTAAAGTACCAGTTTCAAATTTATTAAACTTAATTTCCAATTTCATAAAATGTAATTCAATTTAATTTTTAACACACTGCAAGCCGAATTTGACTGAAATAATAAATAAATACCAAAGGCAGGTGGTGGGATAAAAGGTAAATTTAAAGGTAAGTGAAGGTCAAATATACTGTTTCTAAAGGAATACCAATTTTAAACTGTTTTAAAATATTTTCTACAGGGTTTCGGTGAGTTCTACTGGAAAAAAATGAAGAATTTAATTGGAATATGGAATAGGCGGCTTTCCCCAGACCTTCCTAAGAAATTCCATGACAATACGGCCCCTGGTCAAAAACCAAGATTGTCGCAGGGCCAATGGAAACTCAGGTATGTCTCCGGTCCCCTACCTAATTCCGGGTACTGAGATTGCATAACAAAGGACATACTACTAACCTAAACCTACAAATTCAATTGAGACTAACAATTCACATTCGTGTAGCAGCGCGTCACCTGCCATTTTATAGGCTGCATGACCGGGCCTCCACAAATGAGAACTGTTCGTCCAGACGAAGTTGTTATCTAAAATTTTAACTGTAGATAAATATGAAACAAAATTAATAATGCTAGTGCTATTAGACGTTAATGCAAATTAGAACGAATAAGCCACTAGAAAGGAACAAGTTTCATATTTGTTTTTGAAAAATAAATGATGTCCTCTGGAGTCTTCGACGAAGTCTCGCGCCAAGGACTCTTAATGTAACCTAAACGGGTCTCATTGAAGATGTACGGAAAACACATTTATACACTATCACTAAAAACTAACGACATGTTTCAGGCCCCACGTTCTGGGCGCCATTTTGTACTGACCGTTTTCCGAGGATGACGAAAAATTGCAATATTGGGCTTTAAGTGACGTTGCCGGTATGCTGGCGTTTAGCGCGGCTGTGGCTCGTCGGGTGAGGGGTGGTTCTTGCCACTTGAAGACCTTTTCGGTTGAACAAAAAAAATATATCAAACCGGGCTTGCACGAATATCTAAAAGGGGAATATTAAAAGAAGCCTGAAACATGCCAAAAGAGAAAAAAACTACACTTGCCTACCAAAAAAAACTCAATCTCAAACTCGCCTTAACCTAATTCTATCTCCGGAGACAGCTCTCTTGGCGGCTGTCCGACTAAGAGATAGCCCTCCCACCGAGAACACCTCTCACCATGACGTCGCTACTCCCAGACGTCCCAAATTTGCCCTTCACTTACCTCCGTTTATACCATCCCTACCACCTTAATGGCCTTAAGCCAACGACATCATTTTCATTTGGAGGTATACAATTTTATTAAATCCATTGTAGTCAGATATCCTTACCTTAATACCAATTAATGAAAAGAAGCAGGAAACGTAATTATCAATTCAAAAAGAAAAGAATTTAATTCCAAATCTAAGCTACTTCTCCTTCTTTTTCCTTTTCAGGGTTCGATGGCGGGTATCAAGAGCTAGGACCACTGATGGCAGCTAATGGACAAGGTTCTTCCCAAGGAGTAAGTATTAGTCATATTAGTGTATGAAGATTAGCTTTATAACTACATTCCCGGTTCAAGATTAAAAAAAATTATAATTTATTTTCCAATTCCAGGCCAGGATAAACAGAAGGCAGTAGGTCGACACCACAAAAACAATCGACGAGAAAAAAGTGGATACCAAACGATACTCAACGAGGGATCCTGCACTGCAACACCAGGCGAGTAAATCTTAAATCAAACTTCTTTTGTTTACCCCTTCTTCTCTAAAAATTTTACTTTTCTTTTCAGGAAAACCGCGGAATTTAATTATGTTGCTTCGTCGTCCGTCTGTCTGTCCGGAGTTAATAGTAACGTCTATAGGGAAGATACCAAGTCACGCTGGTGTAGCAGTGACGGCAATTCTGCGCCTCCCTCAATGGATTGGATGGGCGATGGTGTGTCTCCTTACTCCAAAAATTCTGCCAGGCTTTAATTTTTTAAGAGGCTAAATACGTTGCTATGCAATGCCATGAGAACATACACTAATTACGAGGCAATCTTGGCCCTCATCCATGACTTCGTTACATATCTGACAAACCGTGGAATAATTAGCCGTGGTGGCAACTGCACTAGGTTCCTCTAATGGAGGTGACCGAGAAGACTCTGCCATTATTTCAAAGTCGTTATGGAATTATACTCAACTCTGAATGACGACTCAAAAATAATGATATTACTATTGGGGATTTACGAAATTTTGATTTATCCATTTAGACCACCGAAAAGATGGTGAAAATGTACAAACCTATTAAATTGTTGTTTTCCTTAAAAAAAAAATCAAAATGTCTTTGTTACAAAGTAAGAAAACAATAGAAACAAACTAGCGGAATATAATCAACGGAAATTGTTTTATATGCTTTTAACAATGCAATGAAAAATACTGACGTTCTTGCAAATAAATGGGGATAATAGAGTAAGAGTGCATCGACCAATTAAATTATCAAAACTGGACTATGGAGTGATGGATACATTTGATATTCTTAACTATTCGGAGACACCATCTAAAAGAATCCTCTATTCCTAGTTCTTACTATTGCTGACCTTTGGTCATTTGATGGCACGAGCAATCAAATGAAGTTCCGAAAACCCCTCAGGTGATGGTATCTAAGTCAACGACTATCTAATAAATGTTAAATGTATACAACACTTTATGAGAGATAAATGTTCAAATATAACGTTCTAAACGATCCTGAAAAGGCTTTCTGGATCTTAACGGTCGGCTTAATTTGAGTTAATTCCAATCGCTGAGTATCCAGTTGCGTCCTGAAAACTATTCTCAATCGAATTTTCCGATATAAGAGGACCTTTAAACGTCTCACGAAAAAGAACTCTAGAGGTGAAGAAAAAAGTTAGAGCTAAAAGGACAAGGTTGTTACCTTTTTCGGCCCCACTTTTGGCGCCAAATTCTGTAATGGCCACGAACTGAATTCGTAGAATACAAAGTTTTAAATAATCGAGGCATTCTGGATATTGGAGTGAGGTAGGACGGCGGGAGCATTTTATTCCCTAGCTTCAGTCGGGGTTCTTGTCCTTCTCGAAACCAAATCATGTTTCCATTACGTCCTTATTTTAGACTCCTCGGTTTAGTTACGTTATTGAAAAAAATGTATATCGAAAATTGTAAAGTATTAAAAATGAATTTAAAATAATAAATAAAACCCCCAAAGAATAATACCAAAATTGTACACTGAAATTTATTATATAAGTCGATGCCTGTTGTTGAAATGTACTTTTTTTTTTTTTTTTTTTTTTTTTTGTTTCCTAACGTTTATAGTAAAAGGTTTTAGATATTTTTGTTGGGGGAACGAACCCTCACTTAAATAAGTAGAATATTATTGTGTACATAGATTTAAATTTAGTTTTAAAATATGAAATAAGTGTTAAAAAAGTATTACTGAAAACATGCAAAATGCTGTTAAGCCGAGATTAAAAGTTGCCTTTAGATCTGATAGTTGTTTTAGAGCACAGACATTATTTTGGTACTTTTTGTCCAAGTATTCTGTTTTTTGACTACGGTGGGTAATAATTTTTTTTTTTTTGTAAATTTTTATAGAAACATGCGATTTTTCCGTGGAAATATTTCCTTTCCTTGAATAGTTTAGAACAATATGACCAAGTAGAAGAATTAAGCTTTCCAGATAAACTTGCAGATTTAAAAAAACTGATGCAATTGTAGAGGTCTATATTTCATTTTACATAGAATAATCCGGTTAAGGTATCTGTTTTGCTGGCAATTGAATGTGGCTTGCGGATGAAAATAATGCGTAGTCTTTCGTATTGTGCCTTGAATAGAAAGGCAGTTACGGGTCCAAATTCTAGGTGTTGATTTATCTGGAACAAAGATGGTTTCGTCCAATATTTAGTACTCGAGCTCTCCTGTTGCTTAGTGGCGGAGGGAATTGAAGCAGTTATTTTTACTGGTTAGCCTTTTGCGTAGCCTTCAGTGTCTATGCTGGATTTTTCGCACCTATTTGGAAAATTTCACTTAAAATGAACAGCAAGGCTAATGGTATGGTGGGGTATAGCTGAATATGGCTGCAAAAATTATTCCAGGAATTTCAGAAATTTTCCACCGTTTGTGAAACTTCTGTTGGATATCAGTATTGCGAGTTTAGGAACGTGATAAATCAATCTGAAGTGTATATTTGTATTAAAATATGGATAAAAATCAAAAGAAAGGGACTAGTTTATACAGACTATTGATAATATTTTATTCTCATATAAATGATGGCTTTGAAAATGTGGATTTATATTTTTCGTTAAAAGTTGATGTTAACTTCTGCGAGGTTCAAAACGAAAGGACTTTACCTTTACTTTACCTTATTTCGAGTGAAGTGAGTGGGGTCCAAAGCAGAATGTCAAATCTGCTGGAACGATTGTTGTTGATATCGAAATATACTATGTTGTAAGAGTTCAGAGGTCGCTGTTTAATTTGGGTTTGTCAAATAAAAACTTGTTGAGAAAAAAATATATATATTTTTAAGATTGCTAGGGTCTGGAACAAGATAAATTACGATTTCCACCTTGTAGATGAAGGGGTTTTTTTTTAAGTACAATATAGACTTTTTTTCCAGGGTACGTCAGTTGTCAAGAGGTACTGTACAGTCCATCCGATACTTGTCTCTTTGAAACCTTGCAAGTTATCGACTGACCTCACTGATCAAAACAAAAACGAGAAAGTAAGTGTAAATTGTAGAATCAGTAAAATGCAAAAGATATATGAATCCATTTATGTCTAAAATTGCTATTTCCAGAGCGTAGTAATTAGGAGAAGACAATATTTTTTTGATTTTTTTAAAGACTGGTGAGTAAGCAGCATTTTATTAAAAGAAGGCGTGACAATGATATGATTTGCATATGCCTAAAGGAATCTCAATACTAATAACTAAACCAAGAAGGAAAAAATAGAAAACTGGAATTTCATAGGACATTTGAAAGACATGGAATATTGTGAAGGAGTTTATTGAAAATTGAAAAATATTCTATCTTAAAATGCATATCAAAAGAGAATTAAGTAAATATACTTTTCGTATAGTTGGATTTACGAAATGGATGTTAGGAGGGCATGCTCCTAAAATCGTCCACTACACGTTTCGACGAACACCTTAAAAAATACGGAAAGTGGACACCAAAGGGAATTGAAGCCGTAAACATTTTGAATCCTTGAATGTAAATGCCTTATTTTTCGAGATCTGAAAATATTTAATATTAATGGAATACATGATCAAGATCCATTTTTGATGGCCAATCCAAATATCTGTACCAAAATTAGGAAGTGGCCACCAAAAAATTGACTTGACTAACTCAATTTCCTTTCAGGCCATTTTTCCGAATTTTTGAAGTCGTGCTTCTTAGCGGTATACATAATCGGACTGGCTATAAAAAATAGATCTAAAAGGTGATTTTCTTTAGTCTCTGAATACATTTTGATCTCGAAAATTATGGCATCTAAATTCAAGTATTAAAAATTTTGGTAAAGTCAATTTTCGTTGGTGTCTACTTTCCGATTTTTTGGAGGCTTCCTTTAAACGGTAAGCATATTCGGATTGGCTATTGAAAATAGATCTCGACAATCTATTCCGTTAATCCCCAAATACTTTCAGATCTTGAAAAAATTTGGCATTTTAATTCGGGTATGGAAAAAGTTCACGACCTTTTGAACGTGTGCGTCCATATGGTATGCATATTCGAATTGGCCATGTAAAATAGATTTAGACCGTGTCTTTCGATAGTCTATAACGGTTTTCGGAACTAAATATAATATGGTATTTAAATTTAAGTATTAAAAATTTTTGACTAAGATAATTTTCTTTCGAGCCATTTTCCAGACTTTTTGAAAGTGTATCCAAATGATATGCATATTCGGACTAGCCTTTGAAAATGGATCTAGACAGTGTAATCAGTTATTCTCGAAATATAGTAAGATCTCCAACAATATTGCATTGAAATGCGTTTGGCGTACCTTTCTGTCTTTTTGGTAGCGCAAAGTGGCCATCAAATATGGTTCTAGACCATGCATTTCCACAATCAATAACATTTTTCAGAACTACATAAAATATGGCATTTTACATTAAACGTTCATAATTTTAAATAAGTCAATTTTTTTTTCGGGCCAACGTCCATACCTTTTTGGGAAGTGCGAACAAAGGGAAATTTGAAATTTTTGGCTAAGTCAATGTTCTTTGATGTACACTTCTAGACTTTTTGGAGACTTGGGTCCAAATGATGTGTCTATTTGTATTGGCCATAGAGAATATATAAAGGGTGTTTTATAAGCCCGATAGAACTTGAAATTGTAAAAAATAATCAATTTAATCAATTTTTTTTATTCGAAACATGAATAAGTGACATTAACATATGAAAATGATTTCTGGCATATGGGCACCGCGGATGTTCTTGACAAAGTGCGTTCTAGACGTCCAATTTTCGGCCCCTTTTTCGAGCTAATTTTTTGTGTTACTTTTTACAATTTAAAGTTCTATCTAGCTTAAAAAAAATAACCTATATAAACCACGTATTTCGATAATCGTTAAAGATTTTCAGAACTTTAAAAATATGGAATTTAATTTGACGTTTGCAAAACTTTGATTAAGTCAATTTTCTTTCCAGCCAACTTCTAGCTCGAAGATTTTTTCCTTTACGTTACACAGATGATCCCTGTCATCTAAAGAAATGCATTAAATAAATATATAAATATATACCACTTACCACACTAAGATAATTTGAGCCAAATAGGATGCACCTTTATATTTTACTGTGCAATCCGTTTCGGATATCTGTTGAATGGTTTTTGAGTTAATTGCATACATATGTTCGTCGACAAATTTTACCAAGGTAAACATGGTGTTGCTGAAGTGGGGTGTACTAAAAAATTTAATTAGTTATTCTAAGCTAAAGAAATATATGTGTATTGCCAAATTCTAAAGCAAAATTTAAAATTTCGTCTTTTAACACTAGCTCTTGCTCCTTTTGTAAAAATAACAGTACATAACAGTACTTTAAATAGAATGACGCCAAATAGTAACGGGATTTGTCTTAAACCGTTAAGTTTTTACTTCACAACTTTACGTATATGGCTATCTCTCTTTTTCCAAAGCAATCATAATGGCTAGCTTAAATTTGTCTATTCTTGTAGTTTGGAGTACAGAAATTGCATGAAAAATGTCAAAAATCGATTAAAACTTCATCGAGTTTGCACTGTTCCATGCATATATAAAATGATACATATAAAACTCAAAAGCAGAATTCTCTGGAATTTATTTATTAATTATGCTGGACTACACCTAATGTTGTTACTCATTTAATTCACGAATATGTATTAAAGAGCTCAACACTTGTATTTTATATCTATTATTTTATACGTGTGTGGCTGAAATATTACAATATTTACAAAATTAACAGGGCGTTGATCCCCTTTTTATCACAAAAATATATATTTTAACCACGGCTATTGGGAAAAAACACTTACAAAAAATTGGGGGGTCGGGTGTAAACTCATCTCGTTCCAAGATCAATGTATGTAAATTAAATTACTTACCTTCAAAATTTCATTGACTTTCGGGTGCAATACATAGTTCATCTAAAAATTAAAAGGCCTCGTTATATTTCACAATCAGGCTATCCTCCGAAAACTTTCAGAATTACTTATATAGTATAAGAATACGGTTTTCACTTTCTTTGTGGCTTCACTTTAAATGGCTATTACAATTTATCCGACGGAACTTTTTCTATACAATTATTACTTCCCGAACGTCAAAAAATATGTGAATATATTATTTGTCAGGAAAAAAGTAATTATGAAAGAAAATATATAAAATCTTAGCACACACTTTTATTAAGACGCGAATGAAAAGTTACATACTAAAATAATAAAGAGACTTCATACGAAAGACGAGTCTGTTTTCTATAACCTCCACCATACTATGGAGGGTATATAAGGTTTGTCATTCCGTTTGTAACTCCTCGAAATACTCCTGTTAGACTCCACAAAGTATGTATATTCTGGATCAGCGTATTCTAAATTGATTTATGGATGTCCGTCTGTTGTAAACACGCTATCTTTCGCATTTGAAGTTCGCAATAGGTTCTACAGCATATAACACAAAATTGCACATTGAGGTCCACGTCTTCGTTTAGCACCCATATAACGGTACCTCCCGATATTCGGTATTTTGATGATTTAAG